CGGCGTCTATATATAGCGGCCTCGCTATACGTCCGCATGTAAACGAACTTGTCCACCTGCCAGCTCGCGTCTGCTCCCGCTTCTTGTTGACAACTCGCGCCGGGTCAAATGCGCACTTGAATACCAGCAGCCCGCCCCCCCCCCCCCCCCACCGGCGGCCGAAACTTGAAGCCGATTTGGAAACGGCAACCCGCCTTGTCCTTGCCTCACCTCGGCCCGGTCCTCGCACTCCTTGGCTCGATATCCCGAAACGGCAGGCTTCGGGCCCCCCCGCCGCAAAAGTCCCGCTCGGCGTGGCTCGGACTCGGAAACTTTCCGACGGTCAAAGCGCCGCGGGGGCCGAAAAGCGCCCCGCGAGTCCCGCCGCGCCGAGTCCGGCTTCAATCGGATGTTCGGAGGACGGGACAGCGGAGTCTCGCGTCTCGCGTCCCGTCTCGAGTTCAGCCCGGACGAGGGCGTGCAGGCGGCGTTCGACTTGCGGCCCTCCCTCGGTCCCGCTGACAAAACGGGAGCGATTCCGCTCGCGCTCCGTCAATTGTGCGCGGGGGGGTGTGCGCGCGTGCGCGTGATTCGACGGCGCCGGCGCGCGGTGACACACTGAAGCGCCGAAAGGCGACGCGCACTTATAAAGGCGGCGCGGTCCTCCCCACGCCGGACTTGCGGCGGGCCAATGGGAGGGAAGCGCGCACGTTCCCTCGCGCCGGCCTATGGCGAAGCGTCGACCCCGACCGAGCGCAGCCGAAAAGAGCCGAGAGCGTGGCCGAGCCCCCCCGGGAACGGGGGCGGGGAACAGGTGCGGGCTGCAGCAACCCAACACCCCCCTCCCCCTCCTCCAGTGAGCGAGCGAGCAGGCCAAGAGTTTCCAAAATGATTCCTTAGAAGCGAGAAACCCTTTGAAAGTGCAAGCACACGAGAGCACCCCAAATGATTTCCTTCGCAAAAAAAAGAAAAAAGTGATGATAATCTTCATCTTGGAGTCACTCGTCACCGACGCGCAATAATGTGAAGACAGCCTCAGACATTCGCGGTTCACTTTGGACTTGTCCGGTGACGTCGCAGTGCATGTTGCTGCGTTTTCTTCCGTGCGATTTCCTCACATGGCGATCGCCACGACAACCGAGAATTTCAGATGGACTACTCGACCACCGGCAGCTTGATCATCATTGCAAGAGAGGGAAGCGTCCAATGCTTTTTTTTTTGTTGTTGTTGTTGAATCTGCAATTGAAAAGGTGTTTTTAATCCCTCTAATGGACATTTTGGAGGGTGCGTCGGCTTGGTAACGGCTCGGTGTCAACCCCAATTCATTTCAAAGCCATAAAATGGCAAATGTGGGAAGAACAGCCGGAAACAAAAGAGACGAAGAAGTCAAATGTGAAGAGTTAATCGAAGGCGGAGATGATCAAGCGGCTCCCGTTTATGAGCTCGGCGACCGCGACCGGCTGATTCGCCGCCTCGTGAGCCCAAGCCCCCCGAGGATCGCCGCACGGGAGACCCGCGGCCAATCTATCAATCGCGGATCGATCCGAGGCCCCGCTCCCCTCGGCCAAAAATCGATTCGCATTTCCGCGAGTCGGTGAGGAAGCCGCGCGGCTTAAGTT